ACGAGATAGAAAGGAGCCAAGCAAAAGAGGAAGAAGGGAGGAGGAGAGGTAACACTGCAGCGAGAAGTGGAAGGAGGGGACAACAGGAGGAGGTAGCAACAGGAGGTAGAGGGTAGGGAGAGGGGCAAGGAGAAGGAGAAGGGGAGGGGAAGGTGGAGGTGGAAGGGGGGAAGAGGAGGGGGAGGGGGGAATGGAGCTAAGAGCAGAAAGGAAGGGTTCTTACTTAGCATGAGCAATGTTGGCCCATCGAACCAGGAGCCAAGGGTCCAGGTCACGAACAGCACGCCCACCACCTGCCCAGCTGGTGAGGATTTGGGATGTCAAGATCGTCAGCTCACCTTGCCAGCAGTCATGACGTCCTCTCCTCGGAGAAGCTCCGAATACCACACGATCGCTCGGTTGACATGCTCCACAGCCTTCTTGGCCAGCTCCGGGTCCACCTGCAGGGGTTTGCTGCCCTTGCTCATGAGTGCCTCGGCACGGGAGGGGAGGGGAGGGGGAGGGACGAGGAAGACGAGGGGGAGAGGGGGAGGAGAAGCTGCGCAGGAGGAGGAAGAAGGGATGAGGAGAGGGTGGAGCGAGGAGTGTAGGACGGAGAAAGGAGGAGGGAAAGAGAAAGGAGGGACAGGCGAGGCAAGGATGGGGGATGGAGGAGGGTGACTGCAAGAAGCAGGGACAGTGGGTGGGTGGGGAGGGGGGGGGGGGGAGGGTCGGACACACCCTTGCGGCGTGGACTTGCCCTGCCATCTCGCCACCAACGTCATCGCGAGGCTGATGAGGAGGTGGGTGAGGAGGAGGAGGCTTGTGAGGGAGAGGTAGGTGTATCCTCTGAAGCTAGTAAGCACGTAGAGGACGATGCCTGCCCCTAGCGCTGCTCCGCTCATCTTGGCATCTTTCCAGTAGATGAGGTCCACAACTACCACCATCGTCACTGATCCACAAGCCTCTCGTTGCGCTTCAAGTACCAGGCTTAGGGAGGCTGCGCAAGGGAGGGCGAGAGGTCAGAGCGAGAGGAGCAACAGCAATGCACAAGGTACCTGCTGTCCTTCTTGGTGAAATCAGCATAGTAAGGCTCAGAATCGTCTCCTGTCTTGGACTCGACCATGTCTGCTACTTCGCATGAGCAAAATTCTTACGTCTCTACTCTCCCTTTCCCTCATCGTTTGCCCACAGAGCACATGCAGAAACTTGTCGTGAACGAATCATTCCCATCTCTATTCATTCCATCGCCTGGAGCTGTCCCATACCCTTCTCTCCTACATCATCGCGTGAAGCAAGGCTATCTGCTTCATGTTTGCTCTGCCCTTCTCTCCTCCTCCTCCTCCTCCTCTCCCTTCTTCTGATACTGCCCCATCGCCCTCCTTGTTCCGGTTCTCCTCCTCCTCCCTACCCTCAACCACAAGAAATTCGGTCAGGAAGAGAATTTTCAGGAATGAGAAGAGAAGATGGTATTTCAAAGTGAAATTTCAGACACAGACCAGATGACATAAGGCTGATGAAACTTGAGAAGAGTTTGTTGGATCTTTTGCTTCTGTCCTACCATGTTCCCTCCCCGCTTCCTTGTCCTTGACTGCCCTGCCCTGCCCTGCCCTGCCCTGCCCTGCCCTGCCCTGCCCTGCCCTGCCCTGCCCTGCCCTGCCCTGCCCTGCCCTGCCCTGCCCTGCCCTGCCCTGCCCTACACAATTTCTCCTGCCTCTCTCTCTCCTCAACGTTTTGAACTTCTCTTGTCTCTTCTCTTCTCTTGTCTCTCTCCTTCTCTTCTCTTCTCTCTCTTCTTCCCTTCTCTTCTTCTCTTCTCTTCTTCTCTTCTTTTCTTTCTTCTTCTATTTCTTCTTTTCTTCCCTTCTCATCTTCCCTTCTTGTCTTTTCTTCTCTCCTCTCTCTTCTCTTCATCACTTCTTCTCTTCATCTCTTCATCTCTTCTTCTCTTCTTCTCTTTTGTCATTTTTCGCTTTCTCTCTTTCTCTTCCCCCGTCCGTGTTGCACCAACAGACCTTGCTCGACCCCAATGCTAATGACCCCTATTTTAGTACCTACCCCCACTTTTTCTTTACAAAAACTCACCCTCACCCCCATTATTTCGATGAGTACCCATCATCACCCATGTAAAATATGTTTAATGAAGGGGTATCAATTCAAATAATACACCCCCTACCTACTGACTAGGAGTGTCTTTCTGCACATACCCCAGGTCTTTATACCACCCCTCAGAAGCCCTCTGATTTCAAACTACGACAAGCCAGCAAGACAAAAAGGAAATGAGGGGGATGAATCAGCATAGTGCCCGGCCCGGCCCGGCGGCCGCGGCGCCCGGGGCCGGCGGGCCCGGGCCGGCCGGAGTCTCATGATCCGTGGCAGTGCGCTCGGGGGCCGGACACCGTGGCCGCCCGGCCCTTGCCGGGCAGGAGTTCCGATGTTCGGACGGTTCAGTGCCTCCGTCCGCCGGCCGTCCCGGGTACACCAACAATGGGCCGCCGGAGTTACCGTACAGTCGGACACTTCAATTACCGTAGTACAGGCCCGGAGCCGCGGCCGCAAACTTGAAACTTCAAACTTCGGAACAAGCCTTGAAGGGATCTGATCCGATCACCGATGATCATTACTGCGGCAGCCTGTGCGGTGACGCCGGGCCGGGGCCGGCGCTCCGGGACCGTACTCGGGACTCAGTGAGTCTAGCTGTGCTCCGACCGTGGCAACTCAGTTGATCTACTACAGTACTGAGGCTCTTTTCAACCGGGCCGCCGAGACCTCCGGGACCGTCCGACCGGGGACCGGCGGTGGCCTGGGCGCCGGGCGACCGTCGCGCGGTCCCGGCGGGCCGAGGCCTGATGGAGCGTATGCCAGCCGTGCCAGTCAGATAGCGCCGAGTTAACAAAAACTCTCCTGTAAACCAAGACGACTTACGTGTTTTGCGAGGCGGCATGTAGTACGTGTGGACGAAGAGGGGTCTTTCCTAGCCGTCTTGCTAAGGTCCTCTCATGTCTGGATGCTTGGGTCTCACATCCTAGCATACAGTCTATCTCTCATGTGCTCCTCAATTCTGTTTTTGTGTGCATTAAACTCGGACTTGAGCAAAAACTGTCTTGTTACAACGAAGGTCGATGTGATATCTGCGTGACTTTGGACTAGTACAAGTCTAACAAACTTGTATTCCGTCGGTTATGAGCCTCGATTACATGCTCAATCATGTTGATCTTATGTTTGGTTAGTTGAATTGTTTACTGGAGTTTTTTCTTTCTTGGTGTTGTTTCCGTTGCTGTTGAAAATTCATGCAATTCTATCAAGCCTTACACATTCGGATGACTCCTCTCTTCAATCAGGCTCTCTCTCTAGCCGCAAGTTGTTTAGGCCTCTCATCTCAGCCTCAATTTGTTTGATTGATCTTCGAATAGGAAAAACAAGCCTTTCCCCAGCCAGATTGGTCGGTCGAATATCTGCTTAACCGTGTGGAAACGCACTTGAAGCTGATTCGATTCTTATTTTAATCTTCTTGATCTTTGAGTAGGATCAAATGGAACTACCAGGAGATCTGGCGGAAGTTTCATGTCATGGAGCTAGGCTGTGGCATGCATAACTGGAGCTACTTCTGGATCGGCGAACAAGGTACTACTGCACAACAATCTTCAGATGCCTTGAAACGGATGTTCCAATCTCGCGGCAGCAATCTCTGGTCACAAGTTCTTTACGGTTCAAAAATTTATCTTTTGGTCTTCAAATGCCGGCGGGCACGCTCTCTCTCTCTCTCTCTCTATCTCTCTCTGTTATTCTCTCCTCAGACTCTCTTATCTTATCCTCCTTCTCTCGTCATTGCATCAGCTCGCCAGGCATCTCCCCTTATCTCTGCACTGCACATCTAATAGCCCTGCATGAAAATCTTCTTCAGAATGGACAATCTTTGAATGGTTATTGCCCACTCAGCATGACTGTGAACTTGACGTTGTATCATCGTATCTTGACTTGGATCTGCTGACATTCTCTTGTTTGAGTGACTTTCTGACGTCCGATGTAACGTACTATTTCAGAAACTCGGGGGGAGGATGGAGCGTATGCCAGCCGTGCCAGTCAGATAGCGCCGAGTTAACAAAAACTCTCCTGTAAACCAAGACGACTTACGTGTTTTGCGAGGCGGCATGTAGTACGTGTGGACGAAGAGGGGTCTTTCCTAGCCGTCTTGCTAAGGTCCTCTCATGTCTGGATGCTTGGGTCTCACATCCTAGCATACAGTCTATCTCTCATGTGCTCCTCAATTCTGTTTTTGTGTGCATTAAACTCGGACTTGAGCAAAAACTGTCTTGTTACAACGAAGGTCGATGTGATATCTGCGTGACTTTGGACTAGTACAAGTCTAACAAACTTGTATTCCGTCAAGGCCCCCCCGGGAGCCGCAGTGACTCAGTGAGGCGGGCCCGAGTCCCAGGCAGCGAGTCGGGGGGACGAAAGTTTGTGGCACTGCTTCCCGCCTTTTTTGCCTACCCCCCACCCTCCCAATACCTACTACATACTAGACTACCCCCACCCTCCCACCGTCAGTGTACCTACTACATATCAAACTACCCCACACCCTCCCAATACCTACTACATATCAGACCACCCACCACCCGTGGGGACAACTTCGTTGTTTGTGGCATGTCGGCGAGGGAGCAGGGCGGGCGAGCGGCGGGGACTATGACGATGAGGCAGGGAGGGAGCGGGAGACAGGGAGAGAAGATGTCGTTAGCAGCAGAATCGAAGCTCTAAGGAGTGAGTTGGAAGGTTTGAGGTTACAGGCGTCCGTCAACAAGGACAAATGGAGGGAAGCAATCGAGATGTTGGGGAGGAAATAAGTAGATTAAAGAAGAAGGTTGAAGCTCTGCAGGAGGAACGAATCCGTGAGAGACAAGAATCATACTGGAGGAATGATGCTCTGCTAGATGAAATAATGGAAGCAGCAAAGAGGAATCAAGCTCTGCAGGAAGATCGAATCCGTGAAAGACAAGAATCAGAGAAGAGGAATCAAGCTCTGCAGGAAGAACTGATCGACTCAAAAAATACAATTAAAACTGTTCTCAAAGTACTAAGAGAAACAAAAACAATGATCCACGCTCTCCAGGTCGACATGAAGCAAAGTATTCAAAAATTGCTGTTCAAGGCACAAATGGCGGACAACTTACGATTCGCCTACTTCGACGACCTTGGCTCTGATTTGGTCAAGCTTCCAAACTCTCCTGCTGTATTCGGCCAGCGCGTTTGCTTTACTTTCTTCCAGCATGCATTGACCTTACCTGATCAATGTGTGGGTCATAAAGCATCAGACTGCAAAGACCGCAAGGAGGACCACGTCCAAGACAGCCACAGAGACGTCGGAGCATACGACATAGATGGCCGTAAGGTCACAACCTCATCGGTGGTAGAGAGAGCGCATTTGATCCCATTCAGCCAACCATGTCGGCTTGACTGGTCGACTGCTGTGCAGAATACCCTTCCTGAGGACATGCGGTCGCATGACATGATTGAGAAGGTTTTGTTTGGGTGTTACGATCGAAGCGGGAGCTACATACCAGGCATTGCGGAAAGCTCGATCAACTTCATCTATCTCTATTCACAACGCGAGCACTTGGACAACAAAGCAGCTCTGATGTTGATTCCGTTTCTATCTCCTGAGCAGCAATTCGATTGGAACGGTGAAGGGTATGACGCGATCCTAATCTGTGCACATCAGAGAGTCTATCATGAAATTTATTTCGAGCTTGATACTGGACCAGTCCGGGCAATCAACTCAGAGCACAATCATCACGCGTCACAGGTTGACGAGGAGTCTCTCCTCCAGGAGATCTACAAGCCAATGAGGGAGAAATATTTGATTCCCAGCGTGTATCAAGGTAGTGTTGCATTGTATGATGTATAGACCGTACCAGTGAGCGTGTTCTAGATGACAGGCAAAAGCTTCATCAGGCTCTAGAGTACATCGAGACCCTGTTGAAAGATATTTGCGTGGTCAAGTGCGAAGAAAGCTTAGCAAAGCTACAGCAGGACGCCAATATCTGGACCGATGTCTTGAAACGTGACAATCTAGACAAGGTTGCGGCGTGTGATGATCTGAGGGAGAAGTTGAGAACAGAGAGGATGGTGAAGGTTTTCAAGGGTCTCAAGTCTGAACCTGTACCCGGCAAGCTTGCATGTTTTCGCGTGATCAAATTCAAAGCCAACGGTCCTGAAGAGGAGCCTCAGCCAGCACACACGGCCCCGCATCCTCTTCTTCTCTCCCTTCGCTCGATGAACTCAATCACCAATCATTTCTACGGAGACTTGCCAAATGGGAAATCCAGCATGCTTCTTCTCACATCCTGTTAAATCGGCATGGAGGAAGGGATGGTATTCTACTGTGAGCATTGCTTACGAAACAGGTGGGGCCACCATTGTGCTGAGGAAGGAAAGACTTCTGTCATGGGACCCTACGGTCCTGAGATCCATTAGGAATCCAGCTCGTCGATGTGTGCAGACAATAGTCTTGAGGCGTCACACTGTGCGGCCAAGCTTGGTGGATCGGATCAACGAGTATCCTCCGACATGAACCAAAAGTTGTCTCAAAGCAGCGCCCGCAAGTGATGTCCCATGAGACCTTCCTGGTTGTTGAATCTGTGCCTTAACAAAATAAACTTAGTTCTGGGCCTGCACAGCGTGCGGCTCAACCAGGAGCATGATCCATGGCCACTGAGCTGCCGCACCGAGTGCAGGTGGATAGCGGAGTTGTGAGCTTCTCCTCTATCCGCACTCTTCTGACCTCCGTCCTGTGCAGCATCTGGTAATAGGAATAGGCGAAAGCAGAGTCAGGATTCCTTCCGTCATTACACGCATTTCACAGGTTAGCTGCAGGATTGATAGGACAAACTTGTACCACTGCTGCCTCCGTCTCGGCCTCCTCTCCCACTTGCTCTCTGCTTCTACTTTCGGGCATCCTTCCTGTTTCTCCTTGCTTCCCTCCTTCCTCTCTGGACGCATCAGGAGGTGCTCAAGTGTTCTCAGAGCAGGATGCAGCTCTCTGCCATGGTTGATCGTTGCGAGCAGCCATTCCTTTACCTTGGGCGCAGCCGTCCTCTCCTCTACCGTGCTTGACCGCCCTTCCTCCCCCTCTCCTTCTCCCTTCAGCTCCTCGCTCCTCGGGGACAAGCAAGTGTAAAACGTTTTTTTTGTTTGCGGAGAGGGAACGAGACGAAGGCGAAGGGGAGGATGAGAGGAGAGACGAGGAGGGACGAGGGAGGGAGAGGAGGGACGAGGAAGTAGAGCAGAGCAGAGACAAGGAGATGAGAGGAGGTAGGAGGAGGGACGATGACGACTCGAAGGGCACCATGTGAGGTTGACTTCTTGGTTTGTCTTTGTAGCTCAAAGGAGATCTCATCTCGTCTTTCAACGTACCATTGTTCTGATCTTCGTGTGGCGGCGACAGTCTCACATTGATGTACTTGTCGACCAGATCTCTTAGACTTGGCAACGCATGACCTGTTTATCATTCTCAGGTGATTGTATTGGCTATCTTCATCATCATATCAGGTGCTCGTATCGGCTATTCCTATCCTTGTCCTTGTCAAAGCGTCTCATCTCAATCATTTGTCAATGCAGCATCTTGCCTTGTGTGCTGCTCGCAGTTGAATGGAGTGTCTTTCATTTGACCAAGGGAGAGCACAGGGACATACCATCATAACAACAATGGCTTTCATAGGAGATGTCAAGATGAGTGTTCTCTTTCCTGGGAGTTGCTCAGCGGGGTTGGGATGCTTTCGTAGAGGTGTTCGAAGATCTATGATGCTGAAAGGAAGTGTTGACTTGATTTGTTGACAACGAAATAGAAGCGCGTCGGGACGATTTCGCACGCCGATGATGTTCAACTCAGTGTCTTGACATGACATGACACACCTTGCACTAGTGGGGGGTTCTGCAGGTTCCGTCGCCTTCTTCCTCCTCTTCCCTTGCTGCCGGTCTCCTCCGTTTCAGGCCACTCACGATCAGCTGTGCGTGTGTTAATCCATGCTGACAAATCAGAGCGAACTTTAGCTGCCGGCAGCAGCTCTCGGTCAGAATCCTCGGGTCTCCAAGACAAGGATCAGTCCACTTGTTGCTTATTAGAACAAGTCTGTTATGATACAGGGAGCGTCTTGTTGTCCACACGCTCTCGCCGAGCCTGCGACCTGAAAAGGCTTCCGTCCCACCTCGTTGCTGCTCATAGAAAGTTGGAGGGGCAGCAAGAACGAGACTCCCTCTCAGTCCCTCAGAGACAAAAACCTTGTCCTAAGAGGCGCCGACATGGGCAGTTGCGAAGCTACCTCTGCAGCCCTCCTACCAGCAACAAGCAACGAGATAACAGAGCGATCTGTGGGTTCTCCATGACTTGACCATGCTCGGCTACCAGCTGCTTGCCGCATGCGTCATCTTAGAAGAGAGGGAGCGTCACTGCTCGCCGTTCGCTTGTTGCTACCCGACCATGGCGCCGGTTGAAATGTAAAGCGGGGAGGGGAGAAAGCCAAGATGGTGATTTTTCAAAATACAGAGAGAGATTTGAAACATTTCAGACATTTTTTTACCCTTGTAAGGACATTTACTACAGAAGCTGTACCCTTTTAAGAAATTCGATATCAGTACAATTTATTTGTACTAGATGTGATAGAAAGCGAAGAAAACTGGTACAAATGTTTACTCACATATAATTCCCCACCCTGTTGCTGTGATCTTTTTTCTCATTTCAACTTTTCTCGTGGGGAAGAAAGCTGGTCAATTGTTCACCCAAAAAATGAATATAAAACATTTTAAGGTGTTAAAAAACACTTGTAGCTGACCTTTACACCCACCCCCTTGGGTCTTCCATTCCTTTGCAGATGGGGTTTGCAGATGGGGGGTGGGGTATATCAGTCATAGACCAGGCAGTGCTCTAGAAGATTGAGAGCCTGAAATGTACGGGGGAAACGAGAGGGTGGGGGGTGACAGGGTGGTCTCTATATTGAACCAACAACATATCAGCAGATAACGGGTCCTCCCCCCAGAAGAGGGGTGCTCCGTCGGAACCGAAACTGATGACATATAAGGCGAGTTATAAAAGGGGGTGGTGGTTTCAGTTGTAGAGTGAGAGGGGGGTTCGAGCTGGATGAATTGAGTCATGTTGACCATAATGTGGAGGGTGGGGTACCAGGGTACGTGGAACCCCACCGGGTGACCCCAGAAAAAAAAATTTGAACTTTTGGATTTTTAACTCCATATAACAGTTTTAGAGCTACAACACATTTTTAAGTTACCAAGAGTAGGAAGGTGCCGATTCGACACTTGAGTGGCATAATTATACAATATTTGTAGAATATTATACATAAATAGTATAATTATATCAAAATTTCACAAAAGAATAAACTATTCAAAAAAATTGCTGTGAGTCGGTTCAGTTCAAAAGGTCAACCACTTATTGACTGCGAGGACCCACCCCAACCCCTCCACCCACCCCCACCTCATACTCCTCAAATCCAAATTCTAACAAGCACCGGTACTTGACACAGACCACCCACGGTCGCCCAAACCTGACAAAGTCACTGTTGACTCTCTGGAAAAGTACCCGTGTACCACATGACCCCTACCCCACTAAAGTTCGCTTTACATCGCCACCACCCTCCGCCGCTTTACCTAAACATTTACTACCCACCCTGAGCAAGAACGTTAGGATTTTTTTTTTACATATAATAACACATAGTTTTTTTATCTCACTTTATAATCAGATTTTCATCCCTTATAACCTGGTCATTCCCGACGCCCCCTTCTGTCCCAGCCATGGCAGCTGCCGTGTGAACGGGAGCGCTGTCTTCATGGCGTATGCGAGATAATCTCCTCCCTCCCTCCCTCCCTCCCTCCCTCCTCCTCATCTGATTCCTCTCTCCATTCCATCCTCAGCTCTCTCCGTACTTCACCTCCCGCATCTTAATTAAGTACCCCTCCCCCTCCCACTCGTCCCTTTCGCCCTCTTCCTCCAGAGGTCCTCTGAGAACCTCTCCTCAGCATGGCCGACAGCTTTTCCATGTGGCCCTTGCAGGGATCCCAACTTCTTCCTTTCCACGAAACGGTGCTCAGCGGAGCAGATGCGCATGTCTTCATATTTCGCCTCCATCCCTCCAACGAGGGTAGTGTTGGCTGCTGCTCCAGCAAGCGGTTTGATGAGGCGGCCTTTGCTCAAGAGCTCCACCTAGCCATCCATCGGCTGCTCTCAGATCGCTGGGCAGCTCTATCTCAAGTCTACAGCAGCAGGGTCTACGCCGACCTCGACTGCCTCCCTCCCTTGGGTTCGAGTGAAACCGAGAGGGAGAACCGGATGAGGTACCTGTGCTCCTGCACAATGTTCGTTCCTGTCATCACGTGGGGGACGGAAGACAGCTTGTTGGATGAGCTTACGATGCTGAGCAACGAAAGGGACAAGGAGAGCAGCTTCCTGGCTAGCGTGTTAGCAGCCTTCTACCTGCTGAACAAGGGGATTGGGCGGCTTAAGGCCATAGTCCCGATCCTGCGCGACGAGTCATGCGGGAGGGTGTCGATCACGGAAGTGTGTAGGAACCTGAGCAAGACCTCGTCGCTGATCAACTGTCACAAGGCAAGCCTGCTGCTGCTGGAGGGCGGGGTCAGGAAGGATCAGAGTATGATCGTGGAGTACCTCGCCTCCTTCTCCGTCCAAGAAGTGATTCTGTCGCTGCTTCCTGTCCACTGGAGGGTCGCAGCAGGGTTGAAGACGAGCGACATGGGAGTGTCCAAGGACATCCAGGGAGGGCACAGCATGTTCATGATGGGTGAGAACGATATCAAGACGAGCGCGTACGAGGCAGGGCAGGCGGTGACGACGATACTGCTGGAGCTGATGGACGTGTATGTGAGGAGGAAGATGTGGGAGTTCTCGAGCCACAACTTCCGGGGGATCGAGCTGCTGCAGATGTTCAAGGAGGCCGGGGTCGACGACGTGTTCTTCGAGAACTTCGCGCTCAAGAGCTTCGACTCGTTCGTCCGGCTCAACTCCTCCCGCTCGTGTCGAGGACGCGGCCTGAGGAGGCGGAGTTCCTCTCCTGCGAGACGCTGAACCTTAAGGGGACGAGCAGTACCAGAGGAACGTCGACACGCTCAACATGCTGGTCGAAAGGTTCAAGGACGACGAGCGGCTGCTGCCGCTGGACACGAGGCTGAGGAGGTACAGGGACACAGAGGTTGACGGGATCCTTGCGCTAAGGACGACCAACTCGCTGGAGACGGCTCAGTTGAAACTGCCGGCGCAGCGGGGCATCTTTTGCCTGCTGTGTGTCCAGCTGACGTTTGCGCTGAACCAGATCAAGCTGACGGTGAACTTGGACCTGGTGTGGATGCGGGACCCGGTCTGTGTAATCGCCACTCCCAAGATCGTCTCAGTCCCCAGCCTGCTCAACGTCGTGCTGGGTTTCCTCTGGTGCTTCCTGCTGGGGACTGCGGTCGTCGTTGACAAGTTCGGGACTCCGTTCCAGCGGAAGCGGGTTATGATCAACACCATCATCAGCATCCTCGTCGGGTACATCCTCACCTTCTTAGTTGACATCGTCCAGTGCTCCATCTACACGGGCAAGTTGGACCGCTGCTGTCAAGGGTTCCACGTCTTCGTGACTATAGCGTTCGTCATTCTGTTCCTCTACTTTGCGCAGTACAAGCAGCAGTACGTCTGGATCGCAGTCTTCTTCATCCAGGGCGCCTACTGCATCTTCCAAGGGCTCAAGGAGGACGACTGGACTAGCTACATCTTCTACTTTCTCGGCAGCATCTGCATTGTCATCTCCTGCTGGGTGCTGATAGTGTACCGCATCAACTACCGGAAGACGCTCAAGAAGCTGGAGCTGGAGATGCTGAGCTTCCAAGGGACGTGGAACCAGCTGGTAGAAGGGAAGGCGGAAGTGCTGAGAACGCTGGACGAGAGGGTGGGGGAGATACAGGCCGAGCTCAAGTCCAAGATCGCGCAGCGGGTAGAGTCGCCGCTGCAGCAGCTGGTGGAGATGCTGGAGTTGAGGAGAACGAGGTACAGCACCCGCATGCACAAGATCACACAGCAGTGTCAGGACCTGCAGCAGCTCTACCTCGAGGCCCAGCAAGTCAGCGCTGACTTCCAGCAGCTGATCGCTACCTGGACGCCAGTCGGGTTCGTGTGGGAGGGCAAGCTCAAGTCAGTGGCGAGGGCGATACAGAAGACTGTGAGGTCGTACGGGAGGGACGCATCCTGTCTGACGGACATCGTGCGCTGCACTGTGGTGGTTGACTCGATCGACGACGTGCTCACGTGGGTTGAAGGGCTAAAGAGAAACTCGATGGTGGCACATGGGATAGCTACCCCGAAGAATTTGAAGAGGAGGATATCGACGGATGCGAGAATCGAGGTGAATCGGAGGAGGAGGAAGGGGAGGAGGAGGAGGAGGAGGCGGCGGAGGCGGAAAGAGGGAGAGAGGGGGAGGGGAAGGAGGATGTGGTCGGGGACAGGAGGCGAAGAAGGGTTTGGAGAATTTTGTGGGCTGACGTGGTCTTGTTTGCAGATGGATAGAGATGACTTTCTTGAGAAGAAGTTTATGAGCATAACAAGCATCAAGAACAGGTGAAGGAGAAAGAAGAAAGGAGGCGAGGGGAGGTTGGTAGAGGGTGTTGCTGGAGAACATGCTGAGGGGATAGGAGGAGGAGGAGGAGGAAGAGGAGATGGTCAGGGGGAGGTAGGAGGCTGAGTTTGTCATGTGCAGGTACTCGATGAAGTCGAATTTCGCTTCCACGGGAGGATATCGCGATCTCTGCGTCTGTGTGGAGGTGAAGAGAAGGGGCCGAAGTAGAAGAAGGGAGGGGGAGGGAGGGGAGGAGCAGGAGCAAGAGGAAGGGAGGGGGAGGGAGGGGAGGAGCAGGAGCAA